AAATAGGATATCGAAAAGAACATTTATTATTATTAGGAAAGCAGAAGATCTCTAAAAAAGGATTGGGATATTCTTATATTATAATATATTTATTATACCATAATCGAATTCTATAAAAAACTAAATATTATAATACTATTTATCGTTATAAAAGTTAACAAAGTTCTTGAATTTATTTAAGAATAGGATTCAGATATATAGTCTAATAGTACTTTGTAGTTGATTATTCTAATTAATAAAAAGATGTTGGAAGTATAGTATAGAGTTATATAAGATTATATGATATAGTTTATATAATATTGTTTATATGTATATACCTTATATATTTATATATATATCCAATATTATTAGAATACCTTTAAGAATATATATATACAATATTACTACTACTATTATATCTATTATAATCTTAGTGATATTCTAATAGAAATATATATATATAAAATAAGAAAAAAATAAGAAAAGAAGGAAAAAAGAGTAAGAATAGAAATTCTTTTATTATTATATCAAGTAGATAAAGGATATATATATTAATTTAATAGATTAATCAGAGATTACAAAATAATACTAATTTTCATCTTTATTTATACAAATATCACAAACTTGAACTATAAATGTTTTAATAATATAGAATTATATTTTAGACAATTCAGACAATTCCTGAGAGGGTAATAGGTTTAAAACTTTCTTGTATAACTTTTATACTGTATATAATCATGGCTTCATTGTATGGTCCGTGTAGTATTAGCTATAAGTAGATCAAATCGATTATGAATTTACTATTACTACTATACTAATAATTCATTCGACTACTCCTATTAGCTAATAAGCTTACCCCTCGCTAAAATACCCTCATTTTAGCTCGTGACCTTCAATAGTTTTAATAGTGACTTTTTGTTCGATCGCTGTTCTTTAGCTTGAATACTTGGGTACTTGGATGGTTTAATATACAGTTCTGAAAATCAGGAAGAGCGGAGGTCGCACTACTAGAGAGACACTTCACATAATTGCCCACGTTCCTCTCTTTTCCGTTCCAGAAGGCAGGTGAACCTATCAGGATTGCCTGAAATCTCTAGCCAGACACAAAGGTCTTCCACCTTCGTAGCTTTCGATAATCCAATCGCCCAGCTTTACTACGGCTTGACGACACTCTTTGCACCTGTCTTCTGTCCCTTTCGGACTTTCTATCTCACCCTCGCCACACCCGATACCATCGCTGCCCCTGTTACATTCGAAGCCTGAGCCCCACTAACGCCAACATTACAGTTCATCATCCCACACTGCGCTTCCAGATTCGGGGGTGGTTTATCCTGCACCTTACTCGCATTCGCGGCTGCGGACCAGAGGGTGGCGATGTTGGGGAGTACGGTACAGCATCTGTTGAAATTGACGGCCATGGTCGCGTCTGGCGTTGACATGACGCCGGCTTTAACGTTTTGGAGATTGGAGACGATGGAGGGAAAGTTGCCCATGAGAACTTTGGCCGACTTGATTCCGGCTGCGGATAAGTTGGGGGTTTTCATGAGCGTGCCGAGTTGGACAGGTTCGTCTTTGGCGAAGGCGATGGCGGAGGTGAGCTTGGTGGAGTTGTTGGGGTCGTCGACTGTGGGGGGAGTCAGCATGAAGGACGGGAAGTGAAAGCTGGGCGTAGAAGAGAGAACTTACGATATGCGTTGACGGTATTGACGGAAGTGGCCCAGTTGTTTAGTGAGTTCTTGACATCGACTGCGGTGGGTGGGTTTGAAGGAGTAAGAGGCTTTGGTGAGGCAACTCTGGCAACTGCTGCTGGCGTTGCAGCTTTTCTTGCTGGAGTGGTTGCAGCAAAAGATGTGCTAGCGAAAAGTAAGACCATGAATGTGAGTGGCTGCATTGTGAAGGATGATGGGCAATAATATGGTATAATGAATATCTTTATTAGGTTTATAGCATGTGAAGTATTATACAAGCCTGCAGCTACCAGGCTGGATAGGCAAATTATTCAATTATTGAGTGAGAGAAGGAAATTTGAAAAGGTGCTTTCTGCCAGAGAATGTGGAAAGCAAAATCGTAACCTAAGCACGATGGGTACTACTTTCATAAATCACTTTGTCCCTTCTAAATGTGTCTAACCCAGTTCAAAAATAGAATGCTTGAAATTGTGCAGAATGACGCCAAAATCGATGCCAAGATTATTACTGATCGCTAGATCATCATAAATAGCATGTGTACGACATATAATGTCGCACTCTACCGACTGTACGGTCGAGGTCGTTGTAAAACTGGCTGTTGCCAAGAGATATTGGGAGGACCCTGCACTCGAAGGGCTATTCGACAGTTTCAGGGGAGTTGGAAATCGTTTCGAAACAGAACCAAAGCGAGAGAAAAACAAAAATTCTCCAGTTTAATTGATTAGTGACCTATAATACAAACGCTGAACTATTCTGTCATCGCTGTCAAAACGTTTCGTGATCGCTGGAAACCGGTTGGACTTTCCCTTGGTAATAATGGCCGGCTCGATTCATGCGATATCACAATTTCGACAATGACAAAACTTGAGCTAAATATGTTTGAACGTCTGGTATTATCACATGTTCTATTGTCCATTGCCGCTGGGTTGAATGAATATGAAAGTTGGAGATGAAATCGAAGAATACCCGCTAAGGATAATTAGAGCTTCAAAAGAAAACGCCGCGTAATATAGAACTTCTATAAATAATTTTCATCTCAATAGAGCTTTGCGATGGAGTGATACTAACCATCTCGTCTCAGATCATCAAGTCTTGAACACCGCAAATGCCGCAAACTCAAGGAACAACCTCGAGAATCTTAGGCTGCTCCTCGGAAAAGGCTCAAAACACAACAACGTGTATATACTAGATAATGACTCCTCGGGTTCATAAGACTTCTGATAAAGACCCTCTGCTAATTGTAATCTCAGGCAAGTTTCTTTTGGATGTATATCGGTAATCACCATTGTGGGAACCTTATGTACTGGAGTTCATGAACATTTGGAATCAAAGCATGAGAGATAATAGATTCAAAACGTTGCGATTTAGATTCTCTTGAGGGAGACATGATGTTCATCGTGTACGGAGGTACATGATGACAAGTAGCCCTTTCACGGCTAAATATCGGCTTTGGCCATTAGATAACACGTGACCGTAATCTGTGACAAACCTCGCAAAGTTTTCAGGTTTCACTTCCTACGCTTTAGCACCCTTCACTCCAAACAAGAACTCAAAATGTCAAGTGATTGTTCTGAGTTTCATTCTTTTGGATGACTTAGCTTTTAGAAGATATTAGAAAACGTATTGTGTTTCCAACACAAGTGGTGTAAGGGTCTCCCCAAACGTGTACATCTGTAATTTGCCATTCAATGAATCTCAAGTGAAGCCAACCATCGAGGGCACCATAGAGAATGGCATATTAAATGCTAGGTCATGTGAGACGGGAAATTTTATTCTCTCGAAGTTGCGTAACTTGCGTTGTCGTTGATCCCAGCTCTTATCAAAGATGAAGTCCTAAGTCGTGAGATACGGCGTGTTTCAGATGCAAAAGAATATTGAGAATGTGGTCGAGGAAGTAAAGTCATCAACAGATGGCTCTCCATGGATCGGCTATCTAGCTTCTAGTCGGGAAAGCGATTGTCCTCTCTGCAAGCGATTGTCCCTCTTCGAATAATGTATATATTATTGTATTCTTAAATTATATATAGATACATTTGATAGTCTATATTTTATGAATTATCATAAACAATTCATAGCATAAACAGTTACTGCGAGTTGTTTATATACGATTTAATATTATAAAATTGAGGAGGGACAATCGCTTGCAGGGGACAATCGCTTTCCCCGACTGGGAACCAGACGGCCGATCCATGGAGAGCCGACTATTAGTAATCGCAGTTGTTTTATGGATTCATTAGCATTTATACTCTTTGAACTGTCGATAACACGTCGATATCCAAACCAATGACAAGCATCGCAGTCGTGGGAATCGCGGTTGGATGAGGGACATGGGCCAAATTACCCCCTTGATATGGCCATACAAGGACTTTTCTCCATACGCCATGTTCTTATGATGTCTCCCGTGATGTCGAAGATCTGCATTGGCAGCGTTGTTGCTTTCTAGAACTACCTTTGAAAGCCTTGGTTCAATGTGTTCACTTGACTGGGACGAATATTAGTTTATCTCTTTCCACGGGGTATAAATAGTCCCGCAATACATCCAGGACTATTAAGAACCCGTGCTAGTGGGTTCCATGTCCTAGAATCAGCCAAGAGAGGACTTGGTTCAGTCTATACATTTCATATGAACAAGCGCCAATCCCCTTTCTAGAAAAGACCATGATGGCCTTGCATCGTCTTCGAGATTGTGGATGACTTTTATTCATATCCTCAAGTTTCAATCCCGAGTTTAGTCATTACGATCGATCGTTTTCTTATCCGTCTTGGCAGGGCGATAGCATGGCAGTGCCTGTGTGATGCTGAAGATCGACATATCTTAGTAGTTGAATCTGGCGGGGTAAGATTGCATTTTCTCATTGGCGTTGGTTTTTGTTGCCACAGACATTGAGAGGCAGTTGCAATGTAGCTAACGGAAAGAAGGGAAGATTCAAATTGACTTGAAGATAGTGTGTTATTGGGCCTTTCGCCTATAGACAGCCACTGCCTCCCACCTCTAAGACTTATGCGCACTAGCCAGTCACTATTCATGTGGGTGTCCTCAGCTTCTTGGTACTACCGTTCTTTTCTGGCATATTACTGATATACCGAACGCCCATACACCATCAAAATCTACGCCATGCCAATATCTCCACCGTTGTCGTACTGCACACCATTCCCTGAACCAACAGGGCTCAATTGCACCAAAGCCAATCGTTCTGCCAACCTACCATGCTCTTCGGTCATCATTATTTCAGGGTCGGTCGCCTCGAACGAATCTCCAACATACAGTCGGTCAAGAGCCACTCGGTCTGCCAGTTTCCCTTGTTCTTCGGTGGTCGATGCTTTCGAGTTTGCTTTATCTTTCGTCTATTTGGTCATACCCGCCGTCAGTAATTTCTGTAGAGCACTCTGTCATATTTCATTAGCATGTGTTGCGCAGGGCTACCAATTTCAGGTGTTTTACCTTATCCACAATCTTGCGAAGACTTCTTCCCAACCTTTCCACTTTGTTTAGTCTTTCACTTGGAGCGGTATTTATTGCCCATTGTCATACTTATCCGGCAGACCTGGCCAGCTCTTACCTGCCTCAAAGCTTTCTTCATGCATTTCGCTTTCATTCTTCAGGAAAACCTCTTAGGCGCCGGCCAATGCCCAGAGGTGCTTTTCGCACAGTGAGCGCCAAGCCTTATCGATATACTTTCTGTGCCACAAAGTGTGACCTACCGGATGGTTGATCGGATTGCGCCGGTGCATTGGTGTCTAACCTGAGTTTGGTGTATTCACAATCTTCGTATTTTTACCTGCGTGCCTGTGCGATATTCGTTGTAATCATAAATCTGAGTGACGAACTGTATATAGCCTAGTAAGTTAACAAGTGTTTAAAGATCTTTGGCTGCACAAGAAAGCTATAATGTTCGAGACTTGAGCGGTATCTGCGAAGCTTGTATTGTCGCCTCCATGCTGTCGCGCGGGCTGGTCGCATATACCAGTCTTTGTGTTTAGGTGTAAGATCGCGCTGATGGTGCTAGCTAAGAGTATGACAGTTGGTTGTGGTAGCAAATAATAATTTGGCCTTGCAAGTCTGTTTTGCACTAGCGGGCTAATACCGCGTTACACATGCCGTATTGCATTCACCGTTCCACACGGACTGGCATATAATTTACTCTATATGTCATATCGTTAACAAAACCACTTTCATGGCGCAGTGGTAAAACGTGCCACTACATTGCAAAAATCCGACCGGCTTGATGTCCAATCCATCATTCGGCGGAGCACTGATTCTTGAATCGCCCTTCGGGGAAATTTGCATTCCACTTTTCAAAAATCTAGGTTGTAGATTTGAATTCTACCCGCTTCGCGGCGGTCCCTCAGTCATAAAACTCTGAGATCTGAGGATAGATTTTTTTGCTATATTTTTTTTTTGGTCCATTGAATATTCCTCGTTCGGGCGAATGCTTGGAAAAGCTTTTGTAGCGAACTTCGATTTATTCGAAAGCTTCAAAACACTAATATTATTATAATATTACTATAAGAGGATCTCTTTCTATAGAGTAGAGGCCCTATTATTAAATAATATCGTCGGATATCTAGATTGATGTTATTAATATAGCTAAATAAATAGCTATTAAAAAGTTATTAATACTAATAATATAGATATTAATGATTGATTATAATATCTTATAGATAATCATGAGTATTCTATAATCTAAGCATGTTTTATATAATATAATTGTTGGAAGTGCAGTCTAGGGTCACACAAGGTCACGTGACATCGTCTATATGCACGTGCCTCAC